TGGCTGGGTGGTCTAATAAGGAAACCAGTGACAGACCTCTTCCACGCTCTGCTGAGATTCGGTTCAAGTCAGGTCACAGGGAGCTGGGAAAACCGTCTTCTCGCCCCCCACCCCATCCCGTGTGCATGGCTGAGCATCTGGCCCGAGGAAGAGCCGCTAACCTCAGCCTGCTTCTGCATTTGCCACCGGCTGTGTTTCCACCTGAATTTTCCGGGACCAGGATGCCCAACAGATCCACGCCAGCGGGGGCCTTAGTGTAGACAGCGCTCAGGTACTTAGACCTCTTGAGGAGGGATAGAGGATTGTGGCTTTGCCCAGAAGTGTTTGATTTTTTTCTTTTAAAATAAATTAGCACCATCAAGGGGGCTTAATGCTAATTCAGCGCCCACCTAATCCCAGCAGAGATCCTGCCAGACACCGGCTCAGGCGGCGTCTGCGCAGACATCCACGGGCCGGCTCACTGAGGTGCCGGTAGTTGCTGAGCTGAGCACAGGGGAAGTGCGCAGGGGTTTACCCTGCTTTCCCATCCTGACCTCTGCACCGCTGTGGATGAGAGCTGTGCACACCTGAAGCTATGTCTATTAGGCTCAGGCTCCCGGTTGTGTGGACAGAGGTGTTCGCTTGCATGGTTTAACACGTGCTAATGCACCAGGAGCTGGCCAGGACTAGAGCAGCAGTAGCCCTTCGAACTCACCAAAGCTATAAAGGTCAAGCTTGAAATGCTGCCTTGGACTTCAACTACAGGTGGTGGTGCAGGCACTTTGTCTACATTACGCTGCTCCCCGTGGCACTGCCAGCAGGGAAGGGAGGTGACCACGGCAGACCAGGCACAGCCGGACGGCACAAGCAATCGCGGTTAGGATTAGATGGGGTTACCTCCGCACTAAAGGGCAAGTGCCAAGTTGCACCAGTGTCTCCGAAACCCACCGTGAAACACACTCATCTCTGCATCTTCCTGCAGCTGCAAAACCCTGGAAAGGCAAATTTCACAGCTTCTTAGACTGGGTGGCTCTTCAGAGCAGAAGGATGGACGCATCTTCCGAGGGATTCAGCTCTGTCCCGGCTCTTCTTATGCTGTGCTCTTCACTGCATTATCAGGGCCCTTCCCGGCAGTACCTTAAACGTCTTGACTGAGAGCTGCCCCCATCGCTGAGGAGGCAGGACCTGGTCTTGTTTCGGAGAAGATGGCATGATCTCCCAGGAATCACTGTTGGAGAAGGTAGATCCAAGACATGCCCTGCAGCGTTTCACTGGGCTGCTCTGCATCCGGACATGCTCCATCCCAGACTGGGGGCTTTGCCTTCCTCTGCAGCCGGGGCACGGCCCTGCCTGGGGTCTCTGCAGCATCTTTGAACTACCTTGTATAAAAGCAGGACGTCGGCGGCTGCGGTCCCCCTGCTTGACCTATGGCGGGTTTGGGTGTGATGTCTGGTGCTGTGTCAGGGTTGCCGGTAGTTTCCTGTCCAGTTGATGTGATGGATGTGTCCGGGCTGGTTTGCACAGGGCTGATCCTGCCTCAGGCAGAGGCTGGACTGGATGTGATTTCTGCAGCTCCCTGCCAGCCCCGCTTCTCCACGAGTCTACGATTTTATGAGTCCGTGGAAGGATGCCAAACTGCGGTAACGTGCTGTCCTAGACACTCGCCACCTTTCTTGGCTGCAGCTCAGGGCCAACGAAGGAGAAAGGCCCAGGAAAACAGAGAATCGTGGGGTTGCAAAGGGACCTCCGGGTAGACCAAGCCTTGTCTGGGATGATGCAGTTGGGGCTGGTCCTGCTTGGAGCAGGGGGCTGGACTCGATGTGAGCTCCCTTCCCACCCTCATAGTCTGATTCTCTGATCTAGTCCGACCCACACAACTGTGGGACAGTCCCTGTGTAATCCCTGACGCGTCCGGCCTCTCGACCGGGGCACGGCCAGCTCTTGCTGCAGCAGTTTCATCTCTGTGCCCTGCCTGAATCCAGATGGTGCAGGGTCTGGAAAGTCAGCTGCCCTGAGACGGGCTTGCACTCAGCCTTTGGCTAGCTGCCCCGTGAGCTTGGGTGGTAGCTGGCTGGAGCCCAGGTATCCGGGGTGGGTGGCTACTGTGTGTTCGAAGGAGGCCGAGAGGATTCCTCCTCGGCACGAGGAGTGGCACCAGATGTTCCCGACTCTCTCGAGCCAGCAAGGCCCTGGGGTCAGATTCCCAAGCTGGGGCGGGGGGCGGGGGGGGAGACTCTTTTCAGGTGTCCAGAGCTTCTTGATGAGCAAATGTACTGACCTTGGAGAACACAGCAGGGGTTGATTGCTACCCTGAGTCCCATAACTCATAGAGGAGCAGGAGGTTTAAGAGGTGCCTCTCATGCAAAGGCAGCCAAGTTTTATTCAAAGGCTTCAAAGGATCCTCCAGGTTCCTGGGAAACTCGTCCCAGTTACAGCATGGACTGGGACCACGTGGCCTTGGCGCTGTGCAAATTTATATTGCACAGGGACTCTTGCAGGCCTGTATTGCTCACGGCTGCTCTCGCTGCTGGGAATCAACCTCTTCTGTCAGGACGAAGGGGTTGAAGCCATCCTTGTCCTGAGCAAGAACAGCTCTCTTGATATCTTTGAGTCACACATGCTTATATCACGCGTGCGGTTTGCTCGGTTATCTCGCTGTCACATGCACTTGCACACGCACACGCTACATCAAGCCGGAGGGGGACTGAACACTGGTTGCACTTCAATGGGGAGCAGTTCCTTGCTGTGATCTTCCCATAATTGCTGGTGACTTTGTGGAACCAGCCTAAATGAGCCTGCTCCACATGTTTCTGGGCTTTGCTTTCTCTCTCTTTTTTTTTTTTTTTAGAAGAATGCACTAGCTTCTTCCGGTAAGAAAAATATCCCCTTCCCCGAGGCTGCCCTGCAAACTCACACCGGACCTGGATGGAAAATGAAGCAAAGCCGGTCTCATGTCCTGGCTTTGTCCAGGACCCAGTGCACAGTTTCCCCTGTCCCTTGCTCTGGGATGGTTTGCCCCTAATTGCTCACTCCAGGAGGGTCTGACAAAGCCTCTAGACTCAGCTCTGGCTCTTCCAGACCTGAAAGGGAAGGATCAAAGCCCAGCGGAGAGCCTGATAACGCTGTGAAGTTGTTTCCCTCCGGGCTGCCAAGAGCTTTGCACAAAGGATGCTCGAGAACTGCAAGATTGCACCCGCTGCGGGTCTTATTGCTGCGCCCAGCACGGGGGCCTCTGCGAGATGCTTATCCTCGGTCGGCACCGACGAGAAGGATCCATCACGCAGCAAGAGGCGCGTGGCCGGTCCTTCCCGTCTCTGCCTGGCACCTCAGCAAAACCCCTCCTTCTCCGGCGGCTTTGTATTTCGGGTTACGCGACACCTCTGAGCTCTCTGGGGTACATACTGTCTTGATGGTGAGTCTTCAGACAACCCCACCCCAGGTCCCCCCATAGGCTGGGGCCTGCCCAGGCGACTGCAAAGCAAACTCTATGTAATCCCAGCAGCTTTCGCTTGTCTGCTGTGTTTATACGGGCTGTTTCCTCTCCTACGAGACCTCAGTGGTTGTGAAGACTAAAGCACCCAGCTTCAGAGGCAAGCAAGCTCCTGCCACACTGGTTTACATGTCACTTCGCTTTGTGATCCGTCACACGGCATCGGATACAGTCAGCTCTTCCTCACAAAAGCTTCTGCGTCTCTGATTTGGGTAGCCTACAAGGTGTGCCTCTACCTTGCCTGGCTTCATGACTAAATATCTTTCATTGCTGTAGGGCAGTGGTTCTCACCTTTGTAGCCTCAAGGTACCCCTCGATAGACTCATGGCACACTTGACAGACTCAAGACATCCCCTCAGTAGACTCAAAGAAACCCTAGATAGACTCAAGGCACCCTCAATAGACTCACAGCACCCATCAATAGACTAAACACATCCTTGATAGACCCAAGGAATCTCTTGATAGACTCAAAGCACCCTTGATAGACTCAAGGCATCCTTCAATAGACTCAAGGCAACCCTAGATAGATTCAAGGCACAGCTCGATGGACTCAAGACACCCCTCTATAGACTCAAGGCACCCTTGATAGACTCAAGGCACCATCAACAGATTTAAGGCAACCCTTAATAGACTCAATCCATCCCTCGATAGACTCAAGGCACCCCTTGATATACTCAAGGCATCCTCAATAGATTCAAGACACCCCTCGATAGACTCAAGGCACCCCTTGATAGACTCAAGGCACCATGAATAGACTCAAGGCACCCCTTGATAGATGCAAGGCACCCTCAGCAGATTCAAGGCACCCCTCGATAGACTCAAGACACCCCTCAGAAAATGCCAGCTCTTAGATATCACTCTGTTTTCAACTATGGAAATATTGTAATAGAGACATTTTTATGCTGTAAAGAACTCAGCAAGCCCACAGCACATCAGAGTGATTTTATCATGACGGATTCCCATTTAAAATCTCTGAGTTTTTCTTGTGAACCATGTTAGCCCCCTTCACACTGCTAACCTCAGCACACTGGTTGAGGATCACTGCTTTATGGGAGCGCATCCCAACCTATATGCAATCTGGTGCAGATAGTGAATCCCTCCTGGCCTCCACCCCTTTGCGGCAGGATCTTTTTTCTCCATGATCAGGATGGCTGCTAGGGACATGAGCCGCTGCCAGCCTCATGGGCCCAGCAGGACTCCCACGAGCATCTCCCCCCACCAAGAGGTGTCTGAGCCCCTGCTTTGGAGAGGAGTCACTTCAATTTGTCTGCTAGTCGTGCAGCTTGGGCGCACGAGGGCTGGCAAGCAGAAGGGGTTGGGGCTGGGGAGAGCTGGCACGGGGCTGCATCTTGCCTTGCTCTGTGTTTGTGCAAGGTGAAATGCTTTGGCAGGCCATGGGGGTGGGGGACCGGCTCTGCCCATGGACAGCCAGGGGCCTCTACTCCCTAGCTCCCACGCTGGCACCTTTTCCTGGCACTACCACCCTGCCAGGTCCCCAACCAGCACAGCAAGTGCCTGCCGTGGAAATTACCTATGGCGAACTCGTCAAAGGTGATGGTGGTGGAGTTCCTGCCCAGCGCGTTCGTGACGGTCAAGGTCACCTTGTATTTCACCGTGGAGAAGAGCTGCAGGTAGCGGATGTGACACCTGTTCTTGGGCACAGCCTCTTTCTCACAGACCATCTCTCTGGTGCCGTGTCTGCCAGAAACACAAGAAGCAATGGGCATTACCTGGGCGACTGGGGACACATGGCTCGGTCAGGTTAGCTGGAGAGCTAATTAACCCACCACTTCTCAGCAGCCTCATGCAGACCCCTGCCCCATCTTCCTCCCCAGGTCCCCTACTCCCTTGCTGTGCTGTCCCTGGGGTGACAGCTGGGAGCCCATCTGGGTCCCCAGCCTACAAGCCTCCTTTTGGGGTGAGAGGCTGCTCAGCTCCTTTGCTGCCTTCTTCCCTCCCCCTCCCCTGGAGCAGCAGGCAGGGAGGCCGCGGCCCTGGGATCAGCCGGGACCCACCCAGACTGAAGGGGACGACTCCAGATGTGCCCCCCAGACCCGATGCCTGCCAAGGGCCCCGCGGCCGGGCACTCACATGACAGAGATGTTGAAGGTGTTGGGGATGTAGGTGGGGCTGGGCAGGTGCCAGCTGCAGTAGAAACGCTTGGGGTAGTTGTTGGAGCGGCACATCAGCACGGGCTCCTTCGGCGGCGCTGCCGGGACACAGAGAGCAGATCGCATTAGCCATGCACCTGCCTGCTCCTTGCCTTTCCACGCAGCCCGGGGGGACAGGCAGCAAATGCAAGAGGATGCTCCTGGTTTCCAGGGCTGCCGGTTCCCCACTGAATCAGGTGTGCAAGGGCCAGCTCTTGGCCATCCGGGGAGCTGTAGGAAGCACGGCACCCCGTTCAAAAGCTAATGGCTATCTTCCAGTGCTGCCCTCCTTACCCAGGGGCTGGGCAGGGGGCAGGGGGGACCCTCCCGACAGGGACAAGTCTGAGCCTGGCTGAGCTTGTTTGCTTATCTCCTCATGCCTCGAGGCACCCTCCTGAGTGCCCTGTCAGCCCGGTTGAGAATCGCTGGTCACCGTCGCTCTACAAAACAGACCCCGGCTTCCAACCCCGGAGCGAGAGGAGCTCTCCCTGGGGCTGGTAGCAAGAACAGGGCTCCCATCCTCCCTGTGGAGCAGCAGTGGGGGAGCGTGCACACATGCAGCGAGTCCCTTCTGCTGGAGGCTATTTCCACGTGTTGCATGTCTCTGGCCACACACAGCCGGGTAGCACCGTCCAGAGGGGCTCTGCAGGTGTCCCAGCTGGAGACTGATTGAGGTGATTTAGTCTGACCTGCTAAGAGCCCTGGGTGCAAGGGTGCTCTTGCTGGCCCCCCTGACCCTGGGACCTGGGGGCAGCGGTGAGCTCCCGGCAGGTTGCTCTGGTCCCCAGGCCACGGGGGATGAAGCTGTGTCCAGCTGGCTTGGCCTCATGCATTGGAAACCTGGGGCAACGTGTACAGGGTCACCCTCCATCCCGGGGTGGAGCCCCACGGGTGCCTCTGGTGCTGTGAATTATCCCTGGAGTCACGGCCTGGCAGGAACAAGGGCCGGCCACAGGCATTGAGAAGCTTGTGCAAACCCGTAGTGATGCAGAAGAGCTCTGGGCTCCTGGCACATCCGCCCGGGAGTGGGTGCCTGGTGCCAGTCCAGGCGCGAGTATATTCATCCGTGTGCAGGAAGCTAGTGGCGGCCGTGGTGCCCTTGCACCCCCTGCTAGCGCATCCCTGACCTGCACAGAGCCTGGGTTGCAGACAGTGCTTCAGAGGGGCAAAGGGCTGCGTCTGCTAACCCAGGTACCCCAGGCTGGGTCTCGGCAATGACTCCAGACAGGAGAGCTGCCTTTTAATGGAGCTCCCGCACAGCCTAGGAGCATAGGAAAGCAGGCCTTGCGAGGCCATCTAGCCCCCTGGCTCGAGGCACCAAGAGCTCAGCTCCAGGCTGTGGGTTAAGGTTATTATGCACCCCGTCACAGATGGGAAAACTGAGGCCGAGGGGGCCGAACCCAGACCTCCCTGCTTGCAGCTGGACAGTTGTCTGTACCCGGCTCCCTTCAGCACCCACTTCTCCCCTGCTCTCCCCGCCCGGGGCAGGCAGTGGGTGCATCTGGGGGTGAAGCACGCATACGGGGCGCTTGCGAAGCGTGGCGGGCAGTGTGGGAGCCGGGACGGAGGCGATGGACGGGCTTGCTCTAGTGCACGCCTCCCACAGGGTGGCAGCAAGACCCAAGCGCAGGGCCATGCGCGCAGCCAGCTGGAGCACCGTCCAGCCCGCCGGCTCTGAACCAGGGAGGGCTTCTGGGGCGACAGCTCCTCTGCCTCTCCAGAAGCAGCAGCATCTGCCTCTCCGGCTTCCCCCCTTCCCAGGGCCCACGATGCCGTCAACGCTTCTCTGAAAGGTCGTGCCCAACAGCTGGGCTTCCCGGCGGCCTCTGCCCCCAGCCGCTCCCTCGCCCCGTGCCTCTGACTCAGCCGCCTTGGCTGGGAGCACCAAGTCCTTCCCCGAAACATGCCTCCCGCGGAGGGGGGCACTTACAGCTGGGGGGGGGGGGCAAAGGCCGCGGTTGGCTTGCTAGCCACATGCAGGACCTGAGTACAGACCCTGCAAAGACCCTTGGCCTCTTCTTCACCCTGGGATCAGCCCAGCCCCAGGGAGATGCTCTCTTGCTCCAGGAGGTCGCCCCAAACTTGTCCCTCTTTCCTTTCCCCCCACTCAGGACACCTGATTTATGTTGCTGGTTGATCCCAGTTCTCCCCCAGCCCAACCTGGCTCTGGGCTGCTGCGTGATCTCTTGGCTAAGCACGCGCCACGGTGCCAGCTCCTCGTTTATATTCCTACATCCATCCTCTGCCTCTACATAGTGCACGGGGGGACTGAAGCAGCCCCTGGCACACATGTGAGATGGGGGCAGCCTTGCAGGCACCTCTGGGCAGTACAGAGACCCGGGTAAGACATACAGGTTTTCTTTCAGCCATGACTGCTCCTTGGTGCATCCTCTGGGCTTGACACCCACTGGTATTTGTGGCAGGAGTGCCACACAAATACATTTGCCTGCCGCGCCTGCCACAAATGCCTCTGCCAAAGCCAAGGCAGCAAGGCTGCTCTGCCATCCCGCGGAGCATCCTCCCATCATGATATACAGTGATGGGAAAAAAAGGCAGTGTGCATAGCTCAGATGCTTTCCCGGCCCTGGGGAAGCTACAGCGCAGACCACCTACCAGCCCGGGAGCCACCCCCGAGACCCCTAGGAAGCCAGCAGGAGGGAGGTCAAGTGAGATGGAGCATGGGGCAGCGAGAGGAGGCAGGCGGACAGGGTCTGGGCCACCTGGTCATGCTAGGATGCTCGCACAGCCCCAGTCCCTGGAGGGTGTGATGGGGCTGCCCTCATTTCGGACAGCTCCAGGCCCCACCCTAGAGCAACCCCCTCCCCGAGCAATGTCCTTGCTCCTTTGCAGACAGGGCACCTCTGCCCATCACAGGCTCTTAACGAGAGACAATAAAGTAGCATCCTCTGATCGATAAGGGGCTCCTTAATGCTGTCTTTGGAGACGGGCCAGGCTGTCAGGTTGGGGGAGAGAGCTGGCGAGCAGGAGAGGCAGGAAAACAAAGCCAAGGAGGGCGCAGCAAGGACTGGCTCAGCACGGGGCTCCGGAGGGTGCTGGGGGCCGGTCCCCATGGGCCTGGGGAGCGATAGGCAGGGGGAAAGCTTGAGGGGGGCTGCGGGGAAGCCTGGGGACCTGCCCCCCATCTCCCAAGGGGGCGATGAAGAGAGCAGGGATAGACCAGAGAGAAGGGTGTGAGCCCCATTTCCACCCTGCCTGGACCCCCCAGCCCAGCGCCACCCCGCTCCTTCCTCCAGCACGGCTGGGGGAGATGCTTTCTGCCACCTCTTCTCCCCTCTCCGCTCCCCCATGCTGGCCCAGCCCCAGTCCTCCTCCATTCCCACTGGGTCCCCGGTCTGCCCCTCCCCGTGGGTGCCAGGCACGGGTGTGGGGGCGAGGG